TGTTGATGCAGCCAGTGCAATTAAGGAGCCTTGGGTCACTAGTTGTATGCGGATGTGATGAAAACATTTAGCGTTTTTTTTTTTTGTGGAGATCACGATATGTTTAGCACTCTAGATTTTTTTCTTGGCGGAACTGCTATGTGGGAGTGTCGAAATTGTAGGTCCTCTTTTGTAGTGCTGCTTCTACAGTGCTGATTCCATTGATTATGTGGATGAAGAGTTCTATTTTAGTGTTGTCTTCGTGTAACGGAGGTTCGAATTTCGGTGTAGCAAGTGGGCCCTCGTTTTGCTATTGTCTTTACAGGGGATCCCTTTCTGGGATGGGGCGAGTCCGACCTCCTTAAGACCGCCAGCGCGACCCCAGCGCACCCGCTACAACCCTCTGCGCCCTGTTACTGGGCAGCTGTAATGCAAGCGCCTCAGCGAAGCGATCTTTCTCACGCTTCCCACTTGCACTTGGCATTTCATTGTCCTCCTCAGGTAGGCAAGACCCAGGCCTGGAGTAGTAAGAACGGTGTACAAAGGATGATAATGGTGGGTAGTGAAAATGGGTTTGCCTCCGATTTTCAATAATCAAGTGTTCCATTCCGCCCTGTAGATCTTGGCATTACATTGATTTCCCTTGAAGGCTTTGACCACATATATTGAGCAGGAAAGCAAGGGAATATGCTCGTCTGAAGTGTCCGGCAGCCTGAACCGATCTCAAAAAGTCATGCGCATCACTTAGCCTCTTTCGTTCTCAGGGTTCTATCAACTATTCAAATTCTTGTCCTTTTGTTGCGCCCTATATATAACATGGCCCCCGAGTCTATATGCACTCCAGCAGGGACCGCAGTTTCAACAATCTCAGTCCCTGGCTCTTGAGTGGTTGCACTGCATAGCCTTCCCAGGCAAATCCAACTTGGGGACCAGCTTGTCACAGAACGCTTCGACGCCTGTGACCCAGCTGCTGCATCAACTGTGTGATCCTGATCGTTTTAGCCACGTGTGCAGCTGTCTGCATGCTGCAACTCTTGCATGTTGAAACGGGTCTTCAAACAACATGATTTTTGTTGGACTGTGATATACCGCCTGAAGTTGCGCTCATGACATGTGTGCTGATGAGTGTTGCCAATTGTCCGAGGATGAGTTCATAACACCCGGCACAGTTCCATTTGTGGTGAATTCGCTGCTAAGACGATGCCGGCATTCTCTCGTGGACGTAAATAAGTTGCTGAGGTCATCCTGCCATTCTCTGCCAGTGCGTTTCTTTTGTGCAATTTTTCTTTGCTGGTTTTATGATTTTATTCGTTGTTCGTTTCATGTCTGCAACGTGCTCGGCAGCCAGCCAGAATCAGAGCAGGAAAAGGGATTCGTTTGTGCTGAGTTGTCGGGATTTTGATGCCGAGGCTTGACCTGTCCACAGTGGACCGGGAGACCTTGCCTTTGGGTGCTGCTTGGCTAATTTTTGGTTTTTCCGTTTTCGTTTTGCGGGGTTTAGTAGCAGTTCAAGGCAGTTTGCTTGCCCAGGCATTGCAGTCATTCTCGCCACAGTGCAAAAAACCACATTTTGCCTGATGCTCTCTGTCTGCTGCTACAGACACTGTTGAATCCAGAGCCCCAAAATCATTTTCAGGGCAACGGGTAGGTGACTACTATTCTTGAAAGGCACAACTAACCTGCACGTCAGTGTCCTGAGTGCTTACGATGGGAATCATACAGGATTCAGGATTTACTTTTTTCCCAATTCTGCTACTTATTCTATATAGGGTTGTTTCTGGGCAATTTTGAGTCGCTGGATGTTGCCATTATTTCCATATGCTTCTTAGAAAGGGAGCTCTACCAAGAGCCTACAACTGCTCAATTAGATTCAGAAATTTCCTTCTCCTTCTAGGATTATATTGACATTTGATGGTGTTGAACAAGGGAATCGATGCAAAAGAGTTTAGACGACATCGAATGCAGCACTTAGTTTCTTGAAAGGGTTACTTAATCAATCAACTGTAATCACCACGCGCCCCCGCCTTGGCGCGGCTCTACGTGCGGTGCTGAGGAAGTAGATGGTGGACAATCATATTTAGGGTTTATGTTTAGGAGCCCCTTTAAAGAGATAGCCAGGGGTGTAGACAAAGGATATTTAGATATAGGGGTTCTCTTGAAAGCGGGTGTAGACCAAGGGATTTATAGGGTTTACGGGCACTCTCACAAGGATGCTTAGGGAGTATAGGCAAGGCCAATTCAGGGGATATTCACGGGCTCTGGGAGTCTATGGGTCCTTTTAGATTAGAGGAGTGGGGGGGATGAGAACACGGAGTTATTCGGCAGGGCCGAATAGAATTAAGCACTGGATAATCTGGATATCATCTTTCTTTCAAGGTGTCTATCTGCAGTGAGTTAATGAGAAAAGTTTTGTTTTCTCGCCGATTATTCAACTGGGGCGTAATCCAGCTCTTTCAACAAAAATCACACCCACTAACACGTTTTGAGGCCGGGCGTGTTTCTCGCAGCAGTCGGAGGAATGCACTTCACTTTCTTGGGAGGAGGATTCTTAAGATCATGCAAAAGCAGTGAAACAAACAGCGATAGTTGGAGGGCTTGCAACATGTTGGAATGCCTAGCGGGGAGTATGAAAGCCTTGGTGCCCTCCACAGATCATGGTTGAGCGGTCACCGTCCCAAAGCAAAGCTGAGGTTACGCGAGTATATGGCAAACGTATGAAGCTGGATGCTAGGCAGCTTGTGTTGCATGTGCAGTCACATCGGCTGTTGCAGTCTCGCGGGCTCGCGGATGTGTTCTTTTAAGGTCAACACGCATCATGTCACTTATGTATGGTTGTTGCTTGCTTGTTGTTGTGTTTTGAATTATGCAGCTAGGCATGTAGATTCGTAGCAAGTGCTGCTTCAGCTTACAAGACTCTACGGTGTACCCATGTCGAGGTCATCGCCAGCCATGTTAGACCTTCGGATGAACTACCGGAACCTTCTGAACGAATTCAAGGCTGGCTGCAATTGGTGAGCCGCCCAAGGATTTGGCAACATTCGGCAAGATCAGGGGGTTATAGACGGAAAACTTGTATGTGTTGGAAGTTTCATGCCGCCTCGACGTGTCAACTCAAGTATGTGTGCCAAGTCCCCCTGACCCAGCAAGCAATCTTCTGCTAACGTTCGGCCATTGTTGCAGCAGGTTCACAATGGCAAGATCGTGTCCAATCAGCTTGTGCCTTAGGGGGAGCACGAGATGAGGTTAGTGATTACTTGAGATAGGAACTGTCGTCCGCAAATGGCGTCATGGCGCAATGGGCCGTGTTCAGGTTTGCCCTGATGAAGCCGAGACCGAAAGCCACCTTGAACAAGCCGAAGGCCCCCTCCCGCATGCATTTGCCATCTGCATTGGACGATGTACTTCCGAGATGTCTGGAGTATCTTGCACTTGTCTCCTGCTGTTGTCATTATTATTTTTTTGTTGTTGCTATCGCTGCGGTGGTCGGGCCGTGTACTGCGGCTGATGCTGTTGCATGTCGCCGCTGCGCTGTTATTACGTTGACTGGGTCATTGTCCATCTCGCTTTCTGAGGCTGTTGGACACTGTTAGAGCGTTTTTTTAATGTAGGTGGCTTGGAACTGTTGAACTTATGGTTGGGTCAGTGGCCTTTGAGGGCCAAGTCTCGATGTGTCAGAATTTTGTTGCCTGTCTGTAGCCCATTGAAGGACATGCATGTGTATCAGCATTGCTTCCGAGTTGCTGTTGTGTGTGGTGATGAGCTATGGTTTGTCAGGCGCTGGCATACCCTGATGGTGTTGACAAGGCCTGTGTTGAGTGCATGTGGCAGGGGAACATGGCCCAGAGCAAGGGACATGTTCGACCCGTGTGAGAGTCAAGTCCGCAAGGGCATTTCTTGTCAATGATCATTGCTAAAATCCCTAACATCCAAAACCCCGGAGCCCAACACCCCGCAGCTACTCCTCTTTCAATGGATGCAACGGTCCTTGGATGCTACCTGTATACGTTTGCAATGCTTATTATGCAAGGGCTATATGGTCCCTTGCAAGCTTTTCTTATCACGATACTGTGCTCTTCTGTCCATATTCTACAAGCCTGCATAGGTTGCATAGGGTGTCTGTATATGAATTTCTTGTGTCCTTGGTTCAGGGTTTAGGGTAAGCCCACAAGCTAGGGCTTGACCCGAAGCCTGAAACCACGTTGGTACATCTTGAACCATGAAGCTTAGATTCACACTGGACAAGTGAGCCCTCAAGCCTCAATTCATTAAACCCCCAAACCCTCAAGCCCTAAACTCTAAGAGAAACCTGGAATTCCATACCTTCTGTTTGTAACTGAATCTCGTCTCTATGACCAGAAAATGGGGAAGTATTCCTTGTCAAACACCTACGCAAATCCAGTTTCCAGTTCACTTACCACTCATCATTCAATTTTCCACTCGCTTTGCCATTTGATTGTCCAGTATTGGCCCCCGAGCACTAAATCCTAAACCTTAAATCTTGAAGGGTAAAGTATTGACTCTACACGTCCTCTATGCCTGCCCGCGCTTCTACGGTAGGTTCTAGGGACTTTAGGAGGGACCCCTAATAGGGACCCTTAATCCCAATACCATATATAACCTTTAATTTGTCATTATATAACCCCTATATCCCTAGGTCCCTCCTAAAGTCCTTAGATAGGTGCTCTTCCGCAAAGTCGCCCAGATGCGCGCGCGCTCCCAGGAGGACGGCCTTGGACCTTTGCCGGGGCCTGTGTGGTTCACTGTGTAGCGTTTGGTTAAGGGATTGGGTTTGCAAAAGCGGTTTTCCGGTTTGGGGTTTAGGACCTTCACTCACACAAGTTTTTTCTACGAAGCGTGGCTGGTTGGCCAGCAGAGCTAGCCAGCAGCCTTCCTTCCGGCCTTCAGAGCGCAGAGCCCAGATGCAAAAACGTGTTTACGGTTTAGTATTTGAAAAGGGCTTAGGGTGGTGGACCCTGGTTTAGGTTTCAGCGTGCCCGTGACTCATTGGGAAGAGATGGAGTTTGACTCCATACTGTGCTGGCGTGCTTTGCTACAGGAATTCCCGGGTTCAGCCATAAGGCCAGAGATAGTTTTCGGCCTTGCCTTCAAAGTCAAAGGGCACCTGAAAGTTCATGTGAGTAGTATTTTTTTTGGGATACTATGGTACCCAATATACAGTCAGATTCTATCCTCCTTTGGGGTATAGTATTTCATATAAGGAACATTATCTTACTAGGTTCAACCACCAAAAAAAACACTACTCATGTGTTGCAGGATCTGCTAAGCTTGAACAGCGCAAGCTTGCCTCATGAACCGAATGCGCTGTGGTACTCAAAGCCTCCAGATAAAAAGCGATGTGGATTCCCCAGCTCCAAATGGTAGCCAGACACCTGCACACGCAATCAATTATGCTGGCCTCACTGCTGGACTTTAATGTATGTGCTAATACGGTATCGGGTCGGACTCAGAAAGCCTGTTGCAAAAGGGTTTAGGGTTTAGGTGTATGACCGTCTTGACAGGCTGCACGGTCTTTAGCAGCTCTTCAGCGTTCCATACGTTTTTTTCCCCGAAACGAGCTTATTCTTAGAGATCCATCCAGATCAAACACCAACACAAGAACATCACATTCTACATATGCCTGTTACATATATATATATATATATAGGTGAGGCAGGACTTTGTATATATATATATGTGTATGATTTGGTCACTCCTCCTTTCTGTTCTTAATTAGGACTAGCAGTAGTTTTTAGTACTAGTAGCAGTAGTAGTTTTCACAATGATGATGATAGTAGTAGTAGTAG